TCAATTATTGAACCGTGTCGCTTCTCGTAGAGGAACGCGGAGCATGCATAGCGGTATAGGATTTTGGAAGCTCAAAACAATAAACACACTTCGCATTTTTCGGGTTTTCAAGGCTAACATCAGCAACCTTGGACACACCCCAACATGGAGCAGTTTTACATTTCATCTGGTGTTGCCGTGGTGTCCGTCAAATAGCTAGATACGAGCCCCTGCAAACCTTTCAAAAACACCACAGGTGTCTGGCTTCGCGGACATGATGAAATTAGCAGGGAGGATGATGCGACTACCGCCGAAGAGTAATAACATAGATAGATAAATACTTTATTTATCCCGAGGGAAATTCAAGCATCCAGTAGCATACGAAACTGGTCAGAATCACGTCAGGATGTACAAAAAAGTGTTGTATTTGAACAAACTACTCCTAAGGAATTTATCGGATCTACTAAATATTGCTGATTAAAAGTTGTGATATTTGTGACTTTTTGTCAAAGGTCGTCTCTGTGGCGTGCCATCAAAGTTGACCCGGTTGAATCGAATGTCAAACTGTGACACCATTTCCAGCAATTTCAGGGCTTCTATTTTACCAAACTCTTCCTAGTGAATTGATCATCACGACTTCCAGTCGACTCCAGACAATCCAGAGAAGTTCAAAATGTTGCATTATCAAAATCTTCATCAAACCCTAACCCTACTGCTAAACCTAACTGCAGTACAGATTCTCCATTTGCACCTAAACTTCACGTTTAGGTGCAAGAGCCCTGGCCTAAACACATCTAAGTGCCAATATTCATGTCGCGGTCTACAAATGTTATACTTGCACGTCATGTGGCCACAGCACACCCCAAGTTGAGTGGAGTGCGGGGGCCCGATCATCACTGCTTTCTGTTTTAATTGGTATCGTTATTGTTTAAAATCTAATTGCTGATAAAAGAAATAGATTTTTAAAATGTGGTGACAGTCGCCTCTCTCCTTCTGTTTTTCTCTAGGTCATTGTTTTGGAGTCCAGCAGTCGGTTTGGAGGTTGGCTGTGGTCCACCAGGAGATCAGATGGGGCAGTGTTTGAACATGGACCTAGAGGGATTCGACCTGCTGGGGCAGTGGGACGCAACACACTCAATATGGCGAGTTCTACCATAGGCTATAGTTAGTGGTGTGTTAACTAATGATTTTCTGTCATAAACACAATTTAAAATCATGAATAAACCATTTAAAGATTAATAATTTTCTTTATACTGACTTGTATGTTTATTATTACAGATGAAAATGCTGTCTGATACTCACAAATAATGACCTTACACTGTAGACTCAGTAGATTTAAATGGTCATAATCAAACAAAAGGTCCAAGATACAAGAAGACTGTAAAATCCACAGCAGGTTTAGGAAAAATACGTTCTGAACTGAAAAAAATAAGAACTCAATACATAATTAGGAACTATGACCTATGCAGCTTGGTGTTGATTAGACCTTAGGAGAACTTGGGGAAAAATACTAAAAGTAGACAGTTCCTCCAATAGAAACATGCAACTTCTGATTCTGAAGGATTTATATTCACATTATTATTCTGCGAGAATAAGCAGAAGATAATAATACATTTGTTGGGGCATCCTGGTACCTCACCAGGTAGAGCTGGTGCGCTATGTACCAAGGCTGAGCCCTTGCTGCACCAGCCATGGGTACAACTCCAACCTGTGGCCCTTTGACAACCCTCCTCCTTTCCTGTCACTCTTCAGCTGTCACTATCAATTAAAGGTGGTCAAAAAAAAAAAAAAATATATATGTGTGTGTGTGTGTGTGTGCGCGCGCGTAAAAAATTTGTAAACATCCTGAACTTGTCTCTCCATTGTGTCACTGCTGCTGCCTCAGCCAGGAGACTGTAAGGACTCAATAGTATATCTTTCCAATATTCAATTTAAGAGGAGACCAGACCATACCTGTGTACACAATGTAGAAAATATCTCAACAGACAAAAAAATTACATTATTATAAAGTGTAATGGTGTGTGTTTGTGTTTATTTTTGTAGGTGGATGACCTGGGTCTTGGGGGGGAGATTCTGCCAGTCACGCACAGTCATATTGCCTCCAAGAACAGATATCTGTATGTCAACCAAAGGCTCCACAGGATGCCTTCAGGAATAAGGTAAGACTGGTTAGAAGATAATTCTGTTTATAATTGGCTAATTAGTAGTTAGAAGAGACACAAGTTTAAATAAATCTATAAGAATAGCAAATTTGATCTCGGGTCACATTCTATAATATGTTTTCATACTCTGCCTTCAGTAGCTCAATCATTACAGCTTATGTTGAGTTACAACAAGTGGTGTTCAAATCCATACAATATTTAATTGCATGGAGGTAACAATGACACTGATTAAGTCTTAAGCCCAGCAACACTGCACGCGTCTGCATCTTGTCTCTGTCGGGGATTGTCTTGGTTTTTATTTGGGTACCCATGTTAAGCAGCCAAACTGTGATGCTTCACTAGAGAGCTGAGGTCTGGCCTATTTTTTTTCTGAAATTTGCACGATACCCAGTAAAAATATACAGTTAAAATGTTCATAGTCATATTGATATTATACTAGCATACATATACATCTTTTACTACGGTTTCAATGTCTAAATCTGTAGAAAATGTCACAGACATGAAAAAAATATACATATATTTATATTTATATATTTATTTATAGTTTTATTTTTTTTTTCACTCAACATTTCCTGTATCTGTTTTAGATGAAAAACTCTTTCACTATTTCTATGGACAGAATCCATTCATTTGTTAAGACTTTTTTTTATTGTAAACTGTCAAAAGCAAACAGTGTAGAAATATAGAGTTGGCAGCAGCAGCAGTCTCTGTGTAGACAGCACTGGTGTGTTCAGTGTTCAGTAAGGCAGCCATCATGCACTACTCATGTGTGGCGTGTGTCCAGGCCGTTACACAGTTTGCACGGGACACACCTGTGGGTCTGTGTGTGTCCGTCTGTCCCCATGGGCTCATTCTGGTCCTCTTTCTATGATACACTCTCTAAAGCTCTCAATAGACCTGGTTCATGCTTTTGCCACTCTTGTAGCCTGCAGGCGTATTTTCAAGGCTTAAAGACTTAATGTCCTTCTTATACTTGGAGAGAAAATTAAGTACAGTATCAAGGGTTGCTCCAATCCTTTTCATCGAACTTGATATCTTATTTTCTCCATTGTTAATTCTATTTCCTCTTTGGAGGATTAAGATCATTCATTTAGTTTATAAAGCAAATGGAACTATTTGTATATGCAGGATTTTGTGTGCGATTGGTTGTGCAGCCCTTTGTGCGATACATATTTCGTTGTTGTTGTTCTTGTTGTTGTTGCTTGTTTTTTAGGGCCTGAGCACTGACCTATTGTATCTGTTAGAATTAGCTATTATTTTTCTGCCCCTTCACTTGCATTTTTGGAGGCCTGAACATGCTTGAAAACTCCCGAAACTTTGCCAAAAATTCAATCGTGGCAAATATGTATGTATTCTTTGAGATCCGTGCTCGGGCACCACAAAATGGCTAAGCCCCCCCGAATCAGCCCCCAAGACACGGACGACATTTCATGATTAAAAGTTTTGCTATTTGCGACATATTGTTGATGGTATGTGATGAATGTGGTGAGTTGTCATTGAAGGGTGTGGGGTCAAATTTTGAGGTACCACCAGAACACACGAATTTGCTAAAACTTCGGTGTACATTGTCCAATCGGCCCCAAACTTCACTTGTCTGATAAGAGTCTGGCCCTGAACACATCTAGGTGATATTATTCAGTAAAAGCAGTAGTGCCACCTAGTGGTGAAGGGAAATGTCATTTTTATACTTTAATGTATATCTCCCAGCATTTGACCAAGTCCCTTAAAATGATGACGATACCATCTTATCAATCTTATAAATTTTTTTCCAAATTACGTTGCCAAAGTGACGAATCAGTTAAATCAGCTTTCGTGTTAACATTTGAAAATTTTTAGGGGGGCTCAACAGCCCCCCTAACAACAAAACTTCAGTCGTGGCAAACATTTACGCATTAGCTTTGGTCCCACACATGGGTGTCGCAAAATGGCTTAGCCACCCCCGAATCAACCCCCAAGACATGTACGACCGACATGTACGATAATTGGTACGCATGTGTATCATGATCGGACAAGCAAAAAAGCCTTTTGGACCCATAACCCTAAACCCAACAGGAAGTCGGACATTTTTTTTCAGGTTTCATTTGAACAAAATCTAATTCAAAATTGGTCAGTACAGTAAAAAAACATTGCTGATTATAAGTTATACTATTTGTGACTTTATGTTAAAAGGCGTGTCCTTGGCTTGCCGTCAAAGTCGGCCATTTTGAATCAATGTCAAACTGACGCCATTTCCGGCAATTTCAGGGCTTCTATTTTAACAAACTACTAACAACAGGAAGTAAGCCTTGTGTGGCAATTGTGATGTGATTTCTGTGAAATTTTCAAAGCTTGGTGTTGACACGATGTACTAGTGCATAACCCGATGGCGACACACCGCAAATTTGATTTAGTTTTTATTTTTGAGTTCCTCCCATATGTATGTAGGTTTTTTGTCTGTGCAAGCATGGTTCTCATATTAGGGGCATCAGCTTGTATACTGATGCTGTGGGCCGGTGTATGAATGAATTCGTTTCTGTTTGTGAATGTGTTTCAAAGGGTGAATGTGGCATGTAGCATAAAAGCACTGTGAGTGGTGGGAAGACTAGAAAGGCACTATACAAGTAGAGTCCATTTACTATTTAAAAGTGGGTGATTTGTCCTTTCAGATAGATGGATGTTGTGTATTGACAATACACAAGATGTGGGGAAAAAAATCTGAACCAGAAAGAAAGAGCATAAAAGACAAAATGACAACACAAGGAGAAAATATATTTGGTCTCTAGCTTCACGTCTGTAAGCTGGCAGTAAGAGCTGATAGCACTGCGGTGGTGTGTTTTAACCTGGGGGCAAAGCTGGGTGTGTTGATCTTGATGTGGGCGTGTTATGAATATTCCAGTTACTCTGTTTCACTTTGACTACATTTGACAGAAGACTGGGAGACAAATCTGTTATTTAGAGAGTCATAGCTACAACAGAACAGAAGAACAGAAAAGTACTACAGTCCGCACTCTGTACTGTGGTCCGTGCTTAAACTGCAATGGGATAAAGAGAGAGACAGACAAAGGTGCACAGCAACAACAGTAGCAACAACAGTAGCAACAACTATACTAATAGAAATGTGCAGAAAGAGAGAGAGAGGAGCTCAGTGCATCATGGGAAATCCCCCGATAGTCTAGGCCAGTGTTTTTCAACCTTTTTTGAGCCAAGGTACACTTTTTTCATTGAAAAAATCACGAGGCACACAACCAGCCCGAGAAATGTTAAAAAATGAAACTGCTAGCTCATATTTAACAATTATAAAGTCCATTCTCGTCAAAAGTGTCTTTGAATAGAAATCAAAAATAAACACAAAGAAAAATAATTTCTACTCACTCAGTGTTGAAACCTGGCGTGTTTGGATGAACACAGAGCTGATATCCTAGGCGGCAATCGAAGAAAGACACACACAAGCTTCTTCCTCCAACAGCTCTCAGTCTCTCTCTGTTTTTAGTTTTATAGCAAATGAGTCAGGCTTGAAAAGCCGCCTCACACAGATTAATGTCGTGGAAAATGAACCAGCCCGAAAAATGTTGTAAAAAATGAAACTCGCTAGTCATAGTATAACAATTAAGTCCATTCTGCGTCAAAGTGTCTTGTGATAGAACAACACAAAACACAAAGGAAACATCATTTCTACTCACTTCGTGTTGAAACCTGGCCTGTTTGGATGAACACAAAGCTGATATCCTGGGCGGGAATCAAAGAAAGACACACACAAGCCTCTTCCTCCAACACATCTCAGTCCTCTCTCTGTTTTCTACGTTTTATAAGCAGTCAGGCAACTGAAAGCTCGCCTCACAAGAGTTATGTCGTGGAAAATGGGAGCACATGTCAAAAATAAGCTTTGTTTGCCAGAATGGGGAACTCGCGTTGGCAGTAGCCAAACCAAAAACTGTCCAAAAAGCCTAGATCAGCAAAGAGCTTGCTTTAAACCACCGATTTTGGTCTCAGTTCACGATTAGTTCTCCTGCCTCCTGTAAAGTCACTGTCCTTTCCAGAACCACTGATGGCTTGAGCTGATATGGGTCCCCTAACCCAGTCAAGGCAATTCAGTGAAGGCTGAAGAGAAACTAAAATGATATTTCTCCCCAAGAAGTTTTCAAATGGTTAAACTATAGTATCTCACACAATGCAGCAGTGGTTAACATTTGCCATTTCTTGGATCCAGTGGGAACATTTCAAGGTTGCCACTTTCCACATGTTGTTGCCAGAGGTGCACCTTTGAACGGAATCCATTTATTTTATCTGTACTTGTAAGCAGGTTTTCATTTCGGCCTTGCATTCGTGTGTTCAGTTCATTCAGATGATGAAAAATATCTGCCAGGTATGCCAGCCTTGCACACCACTCATCACTTGCAAGCAGCTTTACGTATCGGACCCCTCCCGTCCGTTTGTCAGAAACACTTTAAGCTTAGCAGCTCCGATGACACACGGACCAGCACCTTGCGCGCCGACAACGATCGGAACCTCCGTATGAAACAGCAAGGCTTTATGCTCCGCTCCATGTTCCCTGCCACACAAAGATGCAATATGCGACTTTTCCCACCCAGGTCGTGACTTTACAAAGTTTTCCTATGCGCACAACATCATCTGGTAAAGTCTTGGCTACGAGGGCCTCACGATGTAAAAAACAGTGCGTAACAATCACATCTGGGTTTCTTTCCTTCACTCTGCTTACAAAGCCTTTGGTGCGACCAACCATGGCTGCAGCTCCGTCAGTGCAGACACTCGTGCAGTTTTCCCACTTAAGTCCTCCTTTTTCAAGATATTCTGATGTGACCCGAAAAATTTCCTCTCCTGTTGTTCTTTCTGGCAATGCCTTGCAAAATAGGAAGTTTTCTCTGATTGCGTCTCCATCCACAAAACGCACATTGGCCAAGAGTTGAGCATGTCCACTAATATCAGTAGACTCATCAAGTTGCAACGCAAATTTCTTACTGATACGGATCGTTTCCAAAACCACACTTTCGATGTCTGCAGACATGTCATCAATACGTCTGGAAATTGTGTTATCTGAGAGAGGAACTTTGGCTATTTCTTTAGCCGCTTCAGGTCCGAGCATCTCATTTACAATGGCTTTGCAGGCTGGAAGTATTAATGTCTCTGCCACAGTGTGGGACTTTTTTGATTTAGCTACAAGTTCAGCAACGTGATAGCTAGCTTTAAGGGCTCTCTCATTTACCTTTGTGGTTTTTCTCATGAAAGTTGCCTGTTTCTCCGTGTGTTCACGCAGGCGAACAAAATAGTCCGCATTCTTGTTTTGAAGCGAAGGGTGTTTCGTTTGGAGATGGCGTTTAAGCTTACTTGGGACCATAGCACTGTTGGATAGCTTTTCACCACACACCAAGCACAATGGAGTCGGTGCTGTTGCATCCCCGGTGAAAGTAAATCCAAATGAAAGATAGCTTTCGCTGTATTGCCTCGAGACTTTGCTCGAGCTCACCGTCTTTGCTTTCTTTTGACCTCCACTCATACTAGGGCCTTCATCTGGGTCCAAATTTTGTCCAGGGTCCAGTTCGGAGTTAACATTTTTCCTTTTCAAAAACTTCTCCATCACTGTCACTGTATAGTCTCGCTAGCCACAATGCCACTGTCACCGCCACCTGTCGCATCCATGCATCACTAATTCTCTTGTCTCAAAGTACAAGGCAATTAGCTACCTGCTGCCACCTACTGATATGGAAGAGTATTACATGATAACTCTGCCAGTCACTAGACAGCACAGACACTCGACTCGTTTTTTAGACCAATTAGGTGAAATTGGATCATTTCCCACGACGTTGAAAAACGCTGTCATATACTACTGTCACTAAGTTTCAGCAAAGTTATTGTTATTTAGTTACCTACTGCAGCTTTAACGCTGTACTGATAGTAGAATATATGATGTAACAACAATATTCTGTTCTAATACAGTAATAAAACAATTATGAAATAATTGTGGAATATGGAATATGATTATGCTATAATAATTATTACACTACAATATATTGAAAAACTTAAATTAACAGCCTGTGCTTTTATTATATATTAAAGCAAAAAAAATAAATAGAAGAAAATATAAGCCTGCCTTTTTTTGGGAACAGGTCTCTATGGGACCTTTTAATTCCTTTTGCACT